TTTCCTGGTTGTTGCAGAAATGTTTGGGAGCTCGGCATGAGCCTTGTGCCAGAAGTATAAGCGATGGCTGATCTGTCACATGCTTGCGTGACAGGAATGCCCATCTCTATTTCAGTTATAGTTCATTGGAAAGTAAAGGAAGGAAATGTTTGCTCCCATGTGTATTCAGAACCACCAGTTGCACGTGTGACATACAATAGCTAGAAATGCAGCGTATTTCGGAATAATTATAGCTGGTCTGTAGTTTTACTCGTGTTGGAACGGAGAGCTCAGTGTGACATCACTCTGCCATGACTACAATCGTGGAGGGAATGATGGATTAGTGTCCCACCTGGATGGCAGATGAAATGGACCCCCTGCTCCCCTTCGGAGCACTTTCAGTTACGTAACCCTCTGCTGAAGGTTTATCAAGAGGAAGACGAGTGTTTGATTTGTAGGCAAAGCAATCTGTGAAATCGCTACAGATACTGTTACAAATGCTCTGAAGTACTTTTAATTAGCGTAAATGCACCTCGTGTTTATTATTGCTTACTTTTCTTCATAAGTCCTGGCTGAGAGGCCAGTATTGAATAATGTAGCTTTAAGAGGTCAAGGAACTCAACAAAATAACAAATTAACTCATGCTACAGATTTAATACCAATATCTTGCTACTAGTTTCTGCTCATCCAGTTTTGAAACTGCTTCGCAAAACATTCAAATTTTTAAATTATATACTTGATGTACCTTAGTTGTCTTGGCAACTGTGTATGGTACCGTGACGCATTTTGAGGAAACAAAGTCGTGCCAACATGCAAGTCCCACCAGACCCAGGCTGGCTGCTGCTGCTTAAAGCTTTTATTTCTTTTTGCACAAAGTGAGCGGCGGTGTGCTTGCCGGGAGACATGGTCCCACAGAACGCCGGGCCGTCACGGTGTGGGAAACGCTGCCGTGGGAGAATCCGCGCGGCTCTGGGCGAGCCGGGAACCCCCCCCCGCCCCCCCAGGAATGACGGCGCCCTGGCTAAACACCGCATGTTTAGCAGTGTGGCAGTCCGGCAGTCGCTGTACAGACCCGTGGGATGCGCCATATGGCGCCGTGTGTGTTTCCGTTCCACACACCTACATCTTTCTCACTCATGAGAAATTAATTTCACAGGGTGTTTAATTACGCCAGTCACTCCTGTATTTATTATCAAGTGACCCCTTGACAATATGCATGCTATATAAACTCCACCTGGCAGGTCTCCTTTACAGGCGGAGGTTATCACACTTGTGCGATCCTTCACTCACTGCTTAGCCCACCTGGAATTATATAGAATAGAGTTGAATTTCCCCGTGGGAATGAATAGTCTTCGCCTATCCCGTCTTGCCCTGTATTGGGTACTTTTCCCCTGCCACCAAGAACTGAACCATACCCTTGCCGAACCCTGAACTGACAGTTTTCCATTGTTAATTATGCCAGCCGTACCCAAACCGTACCCGCACTGACACGGCACTGTTTACTAGTAGGACCGAAGGAGTGATGTAACCGAGCTGGTTGCATCACCTCCATCCGATTGGTCGAAGTGCTGGGCGATACTGGTGTTCTGCGTCGACATGCATGGATTATCTGAAGGAAACAAAGGGCATATTTTATATATTCGTTATTGGTAGTCTCGCCAATCGTGACGTATCGATGCATTCCCGATAACTCAGAACTGGAAAATTGCCAACCACCTGCTTTAAAAAAAGTACTACAGAACAGCTGAACAGAATGGATTTGTAATGCAAATTTATGCAACCGAATGCTTATTCCGCTAGTGTTTGATGCTAACGTAAGGCGGTGATTCGCGCAGACTTGCTAGCAGAAATTGGCACATGATGTACACTTTGTGAACATTAAACAAGCGTCTCTTCAGTTTTACGTCATTGTCTTTCTCCAAACCCGGCGATGCCTTTACTGAGCTGACCCTGCTGCAGTGGAAAGCCAGCTGGAACTGCACTGTAACTGGAGTCTTTTTGCGGTCCGGCTTGGTTCCTGTATCCCACTGGAAAAGCACCATGTGAGACACAGAAACGCGTATACAGGTGAGAATAAGCTTGGGAGTCTGAGTACAGGGTGCTTTTAATCCCTGGAGCTCGGGGTTAAGGGCTTTCTGAGGGGCCTGCGGACATGTTAGTATTTTGTCAAAGCCGGGGCTCGAACTAGCGAACTTTGGATGACAGTCACAGAGGCCTAGCCTGCTGAGTGCTACCACCCCAAACAGTTACGACTTCTGTGTGTTTCCTGGGAGGTGAATCCCCAAGCTCCGTGGAATGCGGGTAGTACTTTATCTCTTGAGCTACAGGATCAGACCTTCTCACTTTGTTCAGGTTTCTCTAGGTATTCCCAAGTAGGTCAGATCAAGGGTCCTTCAGTAGGACACTTCCTGGGACTCGAACCAGCAACCTTTGGACTGAGTCAATATCTTTTAGCCAAATAGGCTTCCTGTTGTCTTGTTACCTGACTCCTGTTCTGAAGCACTGGAAACGGAATGCTGAGGGCAAACTGGGAACACTGGTCATACAAGGATTTCTTTCTTCATTCAGCTATATTACATTTATATTACTAATGCTTTCTAATAGAGGTCATAATACAGGTTTTGTTGGATAAGATTTTTTTATGCATGTAGGCAGCTGTACTTGTACAACTCCGAAGTATGATCACACATTCTGAATATGAATCCTTCAACAGGCAATTCTCATCTTCTAGAAAGTCCTGGCTTAGCGCTTTATACCAGCATGCACTCAGGAGCAAACTGGGCTGCCACTGCAGAAATTGGTGTGAATGTATTTGCCTGAGCCTTTTACTGGTGTGGTGTGGTTTATTGCCTTGCTGGAAACTGGGTAGTCCATTTTAATGGAGTAATATGTTTTATCAATGCATTTCTTCCGTTTTTAGACAACCTCTCAAGCTGATCTTCTGAATCCATGATATTGATCCTGAAAGTTATTGCATATGTAACTGGAAGGAAGTCTTGAGCAAAACTTTCATTTTAAGAACACTGGGAGTTACAGTTTCTACACAGGAAATATGTAAAATTGACAATTAATGCCTAACAAAAACAAGATAAATCCAATTAATGTGGTTGTGTCTGGGTACAGTTAGTAAATTTTTTACTAATAAGGCATTTTTTCATTTCCATTCCCTCGTTGAGTGAATCATTTTTTTAACGAAGCCCGATCTTGCATAATAGCCAAAGTCCTAGGGGCACATAGTCAGACGCACTGTACGTGTTTGTGGAGCGGCCCGATTCTGGAACAGTCACCCGTACAGCCCGCCAGAGAGAGAACAAAGGTGAGTGTGCAGTTACATACCACAGAGGAGGATGGACAGGCAGCAGATGCATCCTGCATTTCACCACCAAACCGACTGATGATTATTTGGTGACTTGTGATAATTCCCACCTTTATGTGACGTTCGACATTTTATTCATGCGACTGCTTTTTGTGAAGCAAGGAAGTGCGTGTTTGGATCAAGGAAACGACTCTGTTTCCCTTGTCACACTTGTAACATTCATGTCTCGAGTGTGTGTCACGGTCACCCATTCTCATACCACACGGAATGCAGGTCGCTCTGCCAGGTGCATGTTGGGTAATTTTCTGGATGTGATCACAGCAACAATCTGAAAGCTTGATGGAATAATTACATTTTTCTAAGATCTGTCATGTTATTAGCATATTTCTGATGCGGATTTTACCATGCTGGGTGGCGCGTTATTCGGTCCTCGGTGTCAACTTGCCGCTCTGTGGTGGTCCGTAAGGGGAAGTTTGACACTGCCGCAGACACGTAGGTGTGGTACAGAAAGTCTGGTCGCCTCTCTCGTGTCGGGAGGCCCCTCCCAGCCTCACTGAGCCGCAGTATACTCATACACCCAGGAGGGGTGCCCTGTAGTGGTTTCACGCTATAATTTCTCTCAGGTTAGTGAAGCGTGTGCCGGCTTCACTGGCAGGGAAACGGTGCTTCAGACTCGAGAGGTGACTCGGCAGCTAAACCTCTTCTTTTTCAGTTTCAGTGAAGAAACCGCTCTCTCCAGTGTGCCCACGTCAGAACTGCTGTTAAACCCATCTTCTGCGCTGGCTGTTTGCTTTTGTGACTGGGTGGGGACTGTGCCCTTGCCCTGCAGGTTAGGGGTCTGTGCCCATGTCCAGAATGTTGTGGGTTCAAATCCCGAACCCTACTGAGTAACCATGCTTTGGCTGGGCCTGTAACCCCAGTCACTCCAGGGACTCTGTCAGAACCTGCTGTCCGATCCTCAGCTGTGTGTTGTGTTAGACAAAACAATCTGTTAAATAAGAAAGTGAAATGTATTTAGATCCACAGCCCCCCCCCCCCCCCCCTTTATATTTTAAGTGGTGCTGTGCCCTGACAATTGAAACTGTTCAAATCTCATGGCAAGCAGTGTCATGGCATGACCGCTAGGAACTTCAGAAAAACCCTTCATCCCGAAATCCCCCAAGGTCGCCTGATAAGTGTCCTGGCCCTGCACTCGAACCCCAAGCATCGCTCTCACCTGTATGTGCCTGCATGTGTGTGTCTCACAGGAGGGCATGATGGGAAATGTGAATACTGAAGTTTCGTTGTGCTTGCAATCTGTACGATGACAATAAATGCATTCTATTCTGTCCCAAGTGTGTTTGTCTCCAGTTACATCCTGCTGGCTTGGCATTATTCAGCCACGTCCACCAATCCGCGCCCACCACCTCACACAGATATTGTTTTACGTCAGCGTGCGGCCCAAACATGTAACTAGGGGGCACTAATACAGAGCCTTGGCGCTGCCCTACTGTGCTGAGAAGCGTCCCGAGAGCGGTGGGGCTCTGTCCGCACCCGAGGCAAACGCCTTTACTGAGGTGCTGCCTTATGGGAGTTTCCCAGATTTTTAGGCAGATTTTCTGATCTAATCTGCAGTGAGAATGACTCATTGGTGTGTGTGCAGTTGCACTGACCTCTCTCACTCTCTCACTCTCTCACTCTCTCACTCTCTCACTCTCTGTCTCAGGTATCTGTATCAAATGTGGGAAAGGTGTGTACGGAGCAAGTCAGGCCTGCCAAGCCATGGGGAACCTTTACCACACCAACTGCTTCACCTGCTTCTCCTGTGGTAAGGCTGCCCGTCGGCTGCCCTGCCTTACTGACAGAGTGAAGCTCTGCTTGCACTCGTTCTCTTTATATGTTTATTTAAACTTGTTAATGGAGAACTATTAATTTAAATCATAGCCTAGCATTAAGAACCTCTGTTCCGTGCCGTGCAACACATTAAGTCTCATCTTGCAGTTTTATTTAGCTTAGTCATGAAGGAGATGTTTCGCTGTGTGTGTGTGTCCACATGCGTACGTTTGTGTGTCTTGCTTTTAATCGGAGTTCTTGAGCGCTGCCCCTCTGCTGTGCTGGTGTTCTGATACAGGCACGAATGAATTCATATTTCACAATTGCAGGGGGCAGGATTATTTTTATTTTTTATTATATATTATTTTTTTGAGTACGTTTCTGACAAATTTTGCACAAAGACAAAATGCGCCCAGTGCTTCTCCCGGAACAGCCGGGAACCTGTCCGGCTGCCATGCTTAAAAGCCCCACCGGCGCAGACGATCCACCCAAGGGTGATGAGTAAGACCCCCAGCTGGTGCCTTTGTGCCCAAGACGCTGCCAGTCAGGCTGCATGTGGGGAGCGTGTGTGGGCAGGCGGACAGACGAGCCTCTAGTCCCTCGGGGGGGGGTCCTTCACGTGTCACATGGGACTCTAAGGCGCAGCAGCAAAAAAAATGCTGCATATCGCGGGATCACCTGTAACTAAACCGGAACATTCTAGCTTTGCGGCTATGAGGTGTAAATGGTACTTGGTGGGGTTGTGGATGTCCTGGGGGTGGGGCAACGTCTAGAAACACGCCCATTCATCTCACCTGACCAATCATGGCCAGTCTAATGAGCTGGATTTTGCTGTATCCTCCTGATACCCAGTTCTGTATCCCGTTTGTAGCCCACTAGTCCGGCATGTTGTCCCTTGTCCTGATGCCCATTTCTGTTTCTCCCCCCTCAATACTCAGTCCCTTTCCCTACTTCCATCCCCATGTCACACAGCTCTGTTGACCATCCTTATTGAGGTTATAAAGCAAGGGTAGGGAACCTGACCCATGGAGAGCCACTGTGGGTGTGGATTTTTGAGATGACCTCTCCGTTAGCCAATAACAGTGGGTCGCCAGGACTGGAGCTGAGAACCACTGCTTTATTATTGGCTGACTGAGAGGCCATCCCAAAAACCCGCACCGGCCCTCCATGGATCAGGATCCCCACCCCTGTTTTACAGTGACCAGAAGCTTTGTAATCTCCCATCCAAGTTGGGACTCTTCTCTTAAGCGACATTCACCTGCACTGTTTTTAGTAAACGTAGCCTTCATTGTGCCCATAACTGGATGTTATGGGGACTCATCGATTTAGCTGCATTGGCAAAGCATTATAAGCCCAAGGAGCCTTGGTACTGCACATGTCAATGACATTCAGGTACATCTCCCAGACGAGAGCAGTACACATTTCAGTAAAGCCATCACTGACTGGCTGATTGGCCAATACATGAATTAAGATCGCCTCTCCCAATAGGCTAATGAGTCAATTTCTCTGCTCCATGTCGCAGTGATTTCTGCCTGAAGTTGATATGCATCTCTTTAGTAATTGATACTGTAACGATCAAAATGACTTTTTTTTGTTTACTATTTCTTTAACAAATTATGGACAATTTTAAAGTAGTATAATAAAGCCAGATATATATAATAGTAAAGTAGTATAGTAAAGTATAATAAAAGTAGTATTATAAAGTATAATAAAGTATAATAAAAGTAGTATTATAAAGTATAATAAAGTATAATAAAAGTAGTATGATAAAGCCAGAGACAATTTTATGAAGAGCAGAGCTTTTGTACAGCGACATGCTATCAGTAAAATATGGGTACATTGGTGGTGTTTGGTAATGTTAAGTGCTTTACTGTAGAATGGCTATTTTTAGATTGGCAGCAGAAAGAACATGTTCCTTAAGTTTGTGAATTTCCTTTTGCAAAATCCTGCCGTGTGAGTCAGCGCAGACTGAACCGAGCTGCTGCGTAACGCGGTAACTAGATAACTGTTCGTCCCATGTCGTGTTACCCTGTTTGTCTGCAGGAAATACACAAGTAAACATCTCATTGTGTTTAGTAATTGTACCAGTACAAATGACAATAAACCCTTTGAATCCATTGAATCCAGGTGTAATAACCAGTTTAACTATTATGTCTACGCCTCTGCTTCATCGGGGCAGTGGAAGGATGCTGCATTTGACTTAAAGTACATGGTTCTGTATTGGTGACCTAATGATGGACAGAAGGCAGATGTGCCCCTGACTGCAGATTCAGGCTGAAACCTGCCCTGTAACCTTCTTTGTTGCTAGGCTACGATTTACAGGTCAATGATACCTTAACCCTTAACCCCTACCCAGCCATGACCAAACAATATACTATACCTTTGTTTTGTAATTGCATTCACATTTTTTAAATTCAGGATGCCCTCGTGGGGACAGAAGAAATGTCCCTACACGGTGAAAAGTTTCCCCACAATGTAATATACTTGCCCACTCACACCACCTTACCGCTGGAGCTCAGGAGGACTTTAATCCGACTAGGTGCACACATCTCTGTATCAGTCTGGGGAAGTGAGTCACACACTCCTTCATGCTCTGCACGGCGCCACCCGCTGGACATCTGAGCGTCTTCCTTAGCACAGTATTTGTGTTCCAGACTCAATGAACAGACCTGTTACAGGTATTTTTTCCTCATTAAAATATAGCAGCTTCTGTCGGCGTGTGGAGGTGTTTTTTTAGGACAGGCTCCTGTCTTTTTTAGGAAGATCCCATTTGTTTGTGATTGTAGTCCTCCTGTCTCACAGTGTGTCTGGCGTGACCATGGGGGGGGGGTAAGGAGGAGCGGAGGAGACCGGCAAGCCTGTACTCGCCCGGGGTGCAGGGGGTGCGACCCCAGGGTGCAGTAAGACCACAGGCCCTAATGAATCATTCGTCGTTTCCTGTCTGAGGCATCTGGGAGTCTTGCTCTCAGCCACAGGTGTCTGCGCGTGATAGAGACCTGCCTGTTTTGGCCAGCGGTGTGGCGCGTGTGCGTGTGCCTGCTGCCCCACCCGCCCTGTTATGGGGACCCCCCATCTGTTAGGTCACACGGTCCGCAGAGGGATCCTGTACAGCCTGTTAGCAGGAGCTGATGTACGTGTCGGTTTCGAGCCCCTCGCTACACTCTGTGCATCAGGCATGAGATGTTCACCCATTAGGTTATGTAATCTTTTCCCCACTGGGACCCCCCCCCCCCCCCCCCCCCCCCCCCCCCCCCCACACACACACACACACACACACACTTCCTCATTGAACATCAGCATGAAAGCTCTCAATTAGTCTGAAGTCATGTGGAGCTGTGAGGATGGGGATGTGGTTCTGGTTCCGGCTTGGTGGTTCTTCACTGATCCAATGTGGGGTCGTTTGGAGTGGCCAGCGGGGTGGGGGCTTCTGTGGCATGCTGCAGCAGATCTCTGGCTTGGGTTCCACCTTTGTGACATTCTGCATTCATCCCCAGTTCTAGATTCTCTGGTTCTTATTCTCTTGTTTCTGCTACAAGTCTGTCATCTAATACTTTTGGAGGTCCCCAATGCCCTTGAGCTCGTCGGGTCTCTGGAGAAGGGTGTTCCCCGTGGCCGGCCCGTGATTTACACAGGCGTGTCCCTGAGACGGTCGGCCTTCCACAATCACACTCCTTCCTCCGTCTCCTTCCGCTCTGCTCTGTGATGTCAGCAGTCTCCCTCTACCCCAAAGCTGTCAAATCAGATTCTCTCTAATCAGACTAATGAGTGGAGCCTGAGTTCTAACAGCTTTTTGGTTTTTGGTTGACAAACTAAGTCCCATTTGTTTATCTTGATATGAATACTGATTGGCTGCTTTAGCTCCCATTTATCTGGTACTGGGTAGGACCCACATTTGCCGTCCAAATCGCTTCAATGGGTTTTCTATTCAGCGATGCCTTTCTGCCACAGTACTATTGTACTGAGCTGTTCTTTTTGCACTTGTGGTCTTCCTGTTAGCTTTAACGGTTCTGGCCATTCTCCTCTGATCTCTCTCATTAACTAGCTGGTTTCGCCCACAGTCTGCCACAGACTGGATGATTTTTTATAATTTTTTTAATTCACCACACCATTTTCGGTAAACTTTAAGCAACTCTAAGTTTGTAATTCCCAGGTAAGAGGCTACTTCTGGGATGCTGGAATCACCAGAGCTGCACCCAGCACTAACGCCGCATTTAAAATGACCTGCGTCCCGCGTCTCGCGACTGCACCTTGTAATCCTCTCTCTTCACTGTGTGTGTCCCTCTTCAGTTCCAGGATTCCCAGTTTAGAGGAGCAGGCAGTTTGCATTAACGCGAACGTGTACCTAATAAAGTGCTCATTAAATGTACTCTACACCACTGAATGATAAGAAAAAAGCTAATTTCTGTGTGTTCGTTTTTTGCATGTCAGAAGAAATTTTGCCCATCTTCTGAGGATATTTGAAGCTAGCAGCTCTTCCATTAAATCTTCACTGACTGGATTTCCTGTCACGCATCTGCTGAAGGGTGTCTTACCATCACCTGGGAATTGAAGGCAGTGAAGGACTTGACAAGGCAGTTTTCTTGTATTTAACACTGAAAAGTCAGCTGTGATAGTGATAGTGATATATAATATAATCACGCACACACACACACACACACACACACACTGACTGTAGTGAACTATATTGGGACACCTGGCGATTTACGCCTACAGAAGCTTTTGACATTGTATTCTAAATCCATAGGCATCAGTATGGGGTTGATCTTCTCTTTGCAGTTATATCAGCTGATACTCTTCTGGCTTTCCACAAGATGTTGGGGTGTGTCTGGGAATTTTTGCCCATTCATCCAGAAGAGCATTAGTGAGGTCCAGCAGTAATGTTGGACGTGAAGGCCTGGCTCGCAATGTTCTTTCTAGTTCACCCCAGAGGTGTTTGTTGGGGTTGAAGTCAGAGCTTTGTGTGGGCCAGTCAAGTCCCAAACTCGCCCAGCCATGTCCTATTGTACCTTGCTTTGTGCACTGGGGTGCAGTCATGCTGGAACAGAAAGGTCCGTCCCCAAACTGTTCCCAAAAAGGTGGAAGCATAGAATTGACCAAAATGCCTTGGTATACTGAAGCACTATGAGTTCCCTTCACTGGAACTATGGGGCCAAGCCCAGCCCCTGTAAAACACCCCCATACCATTATCCCTCCTCCACCAAACTACAGTTGGCACAATGCAGTCAGGCAGGTAACGTTCTCCTGGCATCTACCAAACCCAGACTCATCCATCAGACTGCCAGACAGAGAAGCATGATTTGTCAGGCCACAGAACACCTTTCCACTGCTCCAGAGTCCAGTGGTGGTGTGCATTACAGCACTTCATCCAACGCTTGGCATCGTGCTTGGTGATGTGAGGCTTGCCTGTAGCTGCTTGGCCACGGAAGCCCATTCCATGAAGCTCCTGTCTGAATGAAACACCGGAATTCACTGATTACGAGGAGTGTCACAATACATATAGTGTATGTATGCGTGTATATGGTTCAGTGCTACGTACTTTTTGGTCAAGGGTGTGCACACATTAGTAATGATCAAGGTATCCGCTCTTGCTAATCCATTTTAAATTGTCATCTTTTGAGGTATTTTCCTGCCATTGGTGAGATGAGCATATTATTCCAAACTGCTTTGTTGAATTGATTCCAGAGTCCACATTTTTTGTTTGTGTTTGTATGACATCCTGTGTTGTGGCTATTTTAGACGCTGTGAGTCCACTGTGAGCACCAGTTTCTAAGTCTTTTTTTTATTTTCCACCAGTGAAACGACGGTGTTTGTCTTAAAGCTCGGTGCCCAGTGTTAGGGGAACAATTATGGCCGTTTCCTACTGCTGAGCTGTGCCAGAACATTCCAGGGAAAGTCTGTTTTTATGTTACCTTCAGCCTGGTGAAGAATTTCACTTCATTTTCACTTCTGAATCTGGCTGGCATTTGTGCCTTTTCTGGAATAAACTGATTGTTCATATATATTTTGTGTGTGTGTGTATATATAATATACATATTTACATATCATATATTCATAATAAATCTGAAACATTGCGTTTCCCTGTGCTGGTTTTATTTTTATTTTTTGACTGTCACCAACTTCCTGATCGTAATGGAAAAGCAAACTGAGTGAGTCTGGCTCAGCTGCGCTCTCGCTTGCCGCGATGCTGCAGGGAAACGGCTTCAAGGTCCTGGATGGGACTATGGCCAGACACTCCCCAGCTGAAAGGCACCGTTTCTCTGGACAAAGGAGAAGGAGGGAGGGGAGAGATGAGGAAAGAGAGATGGGGAGTGGGAGATGGAGTCCTGCACCCATCCACACTGAGCACTGAGCACATCCCCAAGCGCAGGGACCGGCTCCTGGGCGCCCATGAATAGGACAAGCCTGTGACCTCAGGCCAAAGGAATGTCCTTGTTTGCACAGGCCCTGTGGCCGTCTGGGACCTGCCAGGGAGCCGGTCTTTGTCCTGGTGCCTCTCCTTAGGTGCCTGTTGCCCAACTTGTATCGTTCCACTCAGTGCGTTAAAAGAATTCCAGCAAATGAGGGCTGTAAAAGCAGCTCAGGTTGCGCGTCCACAGGATCTCGTTAATCATATTCCCCCTTTTTGGGTATCGGCAGCTCGGTGCCGGAGTCAGTGCCGGCAAACCTGTATTTCTGACTTTTTTTTTTTTTTTTTTAATCATTGCGCTTTGGTGTCCTAGTGGTGAGAGCTTGTATCTTTAAATACGGCTTCAGTTGTACCTGTAAGAGGTCCATCAATGGACGGGTGCCCATCTCCACCGAACGGCGCCTCCTGACCTGTCCTGTCTCACCACCACGAGAGGAAGGTAACTCCAGACGGTTCCCTTGTGCGGTTCTCTGATGGTGGAATGAGCTGCCAAACCGCATCCAGTCTCCCTCTCCATCCTAAACGCCCAGACCCATCTGTTACATGAATTCCTTCACTAACGTATTTGAATGCTCTTATGTTGTGTTTATTAGCACTTATTATTATCTTATGAGGTTCTTGCTTTGTTGATAATTATGTGGACTTGTAAGCTGGGTCTAGCCGCTCTGATGCCTAGTTACCTCCTTGACAGCATGAATGTAGAATGTGTTCTTCGCTCCGCCAACACGTCGCTTTGGAAAAACGTGTCTGCAAAATAACCACAGGGTATTTTGGTTTTAAGAAATCTCAGTATTGTTTCAAAGGCTAAAAGGAGACTTAGAAATGAGTTGGTCATGCGGTGTGTGTTTGTTTTTTAATGAATTACTCATTACTATTATATTCATGGGCTTTGAAGGTGGATTGGAAAGCAGGCTTTGTGGTGTATGTTGTACTGTAGGTATAAAGACCTTGTAAGGAATGGAGAAAGTCTCAAAGGATGGTGTGTGAGTGCAATATGCTGCTGGGATGTTTAATGTAAGGAACAAATGTAAATATTAGATATATTGGATTACACTCATAAAGGCAGTTCTAATATTGAATGCTATTCTCTGAAATGTGTTCTGAAAGATGCAGTCAGGCAGGTCTATATTTGGGTGAATATGTTAATGAACTGCCTCTAAGGCAGAACCGAGTCGCCAGACAGCTTCGGATGGTTGGAAACTATTTAGCTTTTGTTGTTTTTTATTAGGTGATATATTGTAGACCTTTGAGTGCTAATGATACTGAGGGTGAGGGGGGGACGGCAGGGGGCCCCCGAGTGAGAGCTGCACTGTACACACTGAGGATGAGGGGGGGGACGGCAGGGGGGGCGCCCGAGTGAGAGCTGCACTGTACACACTGAGGATGAGGTGG